CATTTTGGGTAAACGGACCCGGACCCGTGATTTGACGGTCCCGGAGGGTCCGTAGGAAAATATGGGACTTGGGCGTATTCACGGAATCGAATTCCGAGGTCCCTAGCCCGAGAAATGAATTTTTTTGTAAAATTGTTTTCTAAAATTGTTTAAGGAAATTTGAAATGAAAATTTATTAGAACGTGTTGGTATCGGGCCCGTATTTTGGTTCCGATGCCCGTTACAGGTCTTATATATGGTCTAAGTCATTCATGTGAAATTTGGTTGAAAATGGACATCGTTTGACGTGATTCGGACCTAAATTGGGAAAATTGATGTTTTATGAAGTTTGAAAGAATTCTTGGATTTTGAGGTTTAATTCGATGTTTATGAAGTTATTTTGGCGATTTGATCACACGAATAAGTCCGTAGGATGTTTTTGAGGTTGTGTGTGTATTTGGTTTGGAGCCCCGAGGGCTCGAGTGAGTTTTGGATAGGCCACGGGGTGCATTTTTTTAACTTAAAAGTTGCTAGTATGAACTGACCTGCAGGCTTCGCAATTTGCGAAGCCTGGCTCGCAAATGCGAGAACTTTTTTCGCAAATGCGAAAGCTCTTATGTTGGCCAGTGATCGCAAATGCGATCCTTATGTCGCAAATGCGACCATCGCAAATGCGACACCGGCCTCGCAAATGCGAAGGTCCGGAATTTTAGAAGGGTTCGCAAATGCGAACTAAGCTTCGCAATTCCCATATCTGCAGAGGTCGGGGTTCACAATTGCGAACCCCTGTTCGCATTTCCCATATCAGAGACCTGCAATTTTTACACTTAAACAATTTTGAGCTTCATTTTTAATATTTTCTCAAACCCAAACAAACTTAGGCGATTTTCCAAGAACAAGACTTCTTCCAAATCAATTGTAAGTTAGTTTTACTAATTTCTTTCAATCATTAACATCTTTTAACATGATTTCACCTAAAATCAAAGATTTTCATGGGAGAAATTGGGTGTTTTGGGTAGAACCTAGGTTTTTCAAAAATTGGGGATTTGGACCTCAATTTGAGGTCCGATTTCAAAACAAATTATATATTTGAGTTTGTGGGGGAATGGGTAATCGGGTTTTGGTTCGAACCTCGGGTTTTGACCACGTGGGCCCGGGGGTGATTTTTGACTTTCTGGGTAAAACTTTGGAAAACTCATTTTCATGCATTGTGGTTGATTCATTTAGTGTTTATTGATGTAATTAAGTAATTTGTGATTATATACGAGCAAATTGGCGGTGAAATCAAGGGGTAAAGCTTTGAGACTTGAGTTGTGTTCGAGGCATCGAGGTAAGTGTTTGGTCTAACCTTAGCTTGAGGGATTAGGAGTTGAGTCCTATTTGCTATGTGGTATTAGTCGTGTACGACGTATAGGCATGGTGACGAGTATCTATACGTTGGTGTCTAGCATGACCGTGAGTCTTTATATTGTGAATATCTTGATTTCATTGTATTCTTCATGCTTTGGTGATGATTTCTAGTTGTTGTGAAAAGTTTGTGGAAGGAATTGAGACCTTTGAACATCTTGGAGCATTGGCTCAAGTTATATTTTGAATTATGAAAGTATATGAGATGATTGAACCCTTTGGAGCATTGGCTCAAGTGGTAAAACGTGTTATGAAGTAAAATTGAAAGATAGAGAAAAAGTTATTGAAATGTCCCTTGCCGGATTTAATTATTTAATTGTTGTTCCCTTGTCGGGATTTAATTGTTTAATTGTTGTTCCCTTGCCGGGATTCCTATATGTTCTTGTTTATTTCCCTTGCCCTTGTTTGTGATTGTTGTTTGGGTGAGGAAGAGTGTTAAAGCACGAAGGGTGATGCCGTGCATTGTTTGCTATTGTAAGGAAAGAGTGTAAAGCACGAAGGGTGATGCCGTGCCGCACGATGTACCGTTCCGTGCCAATCCTATTGATTATATGTGAGGAAAGAGAGTAAAAGCACGAAGGGTGATGCCGTGCACATTTTATTATTCTAATTGCTTTGGTGAGGAAAGAGAGTAAAAGCACGAAGGGTGATGCCGTGCACGTGTTCATTATATTATTGCTTGGTGAGGACGAGAGTAAAAGCACGAAGGGTGATGCCGCGCACTTACTTGATTTCTGCTTCTTGTTGACATTGTAGTTATGTTGTTCCTTTCCTTACTTGATGCTTTATTCGGAACTTTTATCTCCCCGCAACATGTTTCCCCCTCCCTTCCTTACTTGTTCATTTCTGCTTTACTTTCCGTTGTACATTATATAACTGCACAGGTTTATTTGGTTTTCTGGTCCTAGCCTCGTCACTACTTCGCCGAGGTTAGGCTAGGCACTTACCAGCACATGGGGTCGGTTGTGCTGATACTACACTCTGTGCTCTTTTGCACAGATCCAGGTCCTGGAGTAGCATTTGGTCATCAGCAGTAGATTGGGAGCTATCCTTCAGTCCGAGACTCCGAGGTAGCCCTGCTGGCGTTCGCAAGCCCGACGTCTCTTCTTTCAGTTTTTATGTTCTGTTGTCATTTGTACTCGAGACAGACTATGTTCTTTTCTTTCAAACACTTATTTGTAGTAATCCTAGACAGTCCGTGGATGTTGTGACACCAGGTTCTGGTTAGAGGCATGTGTTGGTCTTCAGGATATTTAGGTTTTATATTTTATTTAAGACTTCCGCTAAATTTCATATTCCGCTGTAATTTATTTGTTTATTTTCGGTAAATTTAATTGGTTAAAAAGGAATTAAAAACAAAAGGAGTTAATGATTTCTAAGATCGTGGCTTGCCTATCTTCTACGAGTAGGCGCCATCACGACTCCCGAGGGTGAGAAATTCGGGTCGTGACAGACTCCTAGATATACTAAAAAATACTATGAGTTCATTCTCATAGACACCAGATCCTGCTTATTCAAACCCCACAAAGATAAGCAGACTCAATCACATGTCACACATATTACGGTGTGGATTAACAAAAGAATCTCACCAAAAGAATGGGGCATACATCCAGCAAAATACAAAACATTTCTCAGCCTTTTGATCCAAAAATTTATAATTATTATGACTATTCGGCAGCATGGATAAATGCTTTCACATTCCAAAATCAACTTGGAAAGCATTTATGGTTTATCCTCTGGAGTAAATAATTAATCTCTCAATTCCCTCAATGGTTTATGCAGTGGTGGCCTGCTTATGGTCATAAGGTTGAAATTCTCCCTTCACCAATAAAAGAAGGATATGACTATTGTTTTCACAGGTTTTCTAGTGAGCAACAAATACCCATACTCCTCCATTTTTCTCATAGATTTTACATCCGGTGGATCTACTCCTAGAATTTCCCTTTCACAAACCAGAAGGACACAAAGGACTACCGCGGTTAGCTCAAGGCCACTGCAAGGGGTACAAAAATCGGGACCCGTCTGAAGCCTATGTTCCAGCAATAGATAAATGGTTTTTTCCCAGTCCACAATATCTAACTATAGCAGATGCTGCCTAAATTTTATTTTTACAGCAAAAATCTATTGCAGCCGTACAATTAGCCAATTCCAGCAGCAAGCTAGATTTTATCAAGCATATATATATATAGGTAAAACATTTTTTTAGGTCATTAGTCTTACCTTTTACAAACATTACTTGTAATAATATTTAAATGACTTAGTAATGCAAAAATTCATTTATGTTGTCACTGTACAGAGTTTAACTCTGTTTATATTGGAAGTAGAAAAATGCATGGTAAGCTCGTTTATGAGCAATCTCACTTTACATAAAGGTTCATATTGTAAAGACAACTGGCATATTTTAATCATTGCCTTAATATGTAACGCTCGTGATTTGTCTTGATAATAATGAATCACTTAGCATTATTCACAAGATAAGAGCACATTAAACCAATAATTAGCTGTCAACCTTGATAACAACAGTAACTTCTTAGGCATGTAACATACTACTACCAAAACATGAATAAATTCGTTTTTCTTCTTTACCCAGTCCTTTTTCCTTTTATTTTTTCTTTTCACAAGGAATGAATATTGCATGATAAAAGGTTTAATTTCTCGGGAAAGGCCTGATCCCAGCGTGTTTGATTTGTATAAGTGTGAAAACACGTTTAAAGCATATAATAATGGCAATTCGAACTATCATATTAAAGAAATGGACGTTTAGCCAAATTCAGTTATAAGAAATTAATTCATAAGGTGAGAACTCTACAATATCATACCCTCAACCAATATGCAAAACTAAACATTTGTTAAGATAAGAATCTTATTTATTCAATTTCGTTGTCCTAATTGGAAATTTCAAATCCTTAGATGAAAGTCCATTTTGTGATCATCTGTTAGACATAACTAATTTTGAGAAAAATTTACAACGACTTATAATTAGGAGCGAAATCTCGAATGTGAATTTTGTCAGAAGCAAATACTGAGTCTTCACGTATTATTCTAAGACGTTTCCCCTCCTAGTGTTTAGAATAAATACATTCCCGATTTTAACCTTTAAGGAAGTAGGAACTCAATATTTGAATATTTTCAAAAATTTAAATGAATAAAGGATGAGAGAAAATTTGAAATATAGATGTATATTGTTCATTGTAATCTAGTATTGGAGTTATTTATTATAATTAGATATAATTAATCAGATAAGCAAAGTGGGACCAGGACAGGACAGCCCAAAATGGGACCCAATTGAGTGAGATCAAAATTTTGTACAAAGTGAACTTTAGCTACCGTTTTTTGTTTTGAAGCCAGTAACGGCATTTTGGCTTATGATTGTATTTTGGTTTGTTCCCATTCCCATCGAATCATCATCCTTTGTATCTCTTCTTATACAACCTTTTCTTCCCC